CTCCTAACCCCCCAACCTCCCCCATTTTCCCAGCCAACCCCTCCCGCTTCCTTCCCATCCTCACCAACCGTCAGATAAGAGAACTTCGAACTTCGAACTTCGTTAGTGTGACTTTGTAAATGGTCCAAGTCGGACCGAAACGCCGTCGTAAGCTCCTCTCTTCTATGTGCGGGTTATATTTGTATTGTTTCAGTCACGGTATTGTGCCTTTTTGTTAATTAAGACAAATCTTGGAGGTACCATCGAGAAGACAGTCTTGATACAGCTTATGCTGAGACTGACCTGGAGTTTACCTGGAGAGAGTTTCGGGGGTCAACGCCCCCGCGGCCCGGTCTGTGACCAGGCCCCCCTGGTGGATCAGCGCCTATCAACCAGGCTTTTGCTGCGGGCTGCACGCAAACCAACGTACAAAGCCACACCCCCGGCTGATCAGGAACGGGACTTTAGGTGCTTTCCAGTCCCAGCTTGAAGACTGCCAGGGTCTGTTGGAAATTTCCCCCTTATGTGTGCTGGGAGGCAGTTGAACAGTCTCGGGCCCCTGACATTTATTGTATGGCCCTTTAAACGTGCTAGTGACACCCCTGCTTTTCATTGGGGGGATGGTGCATCGTCTGCCAAGTCTTTTGCTTCGTAGTGAGTGATTTTCGTGTGCAAGTTCGGTACTATCCCTCTAGGATTTTCCGGGTGTATATAATCATGTAATCTCTCCCTCCTGCATTCCAGGGAATACGGGTTAGAAACCTCAAGCGCTCCCAGTAATTGAGTGTTTTAAACTCCGTTATGCGCCCCGGGTGAAAGTTCTCTGTACATTTTCTAGGTGGGCCCAATTTCACCTCCCTTTGAAAGGTGCTGTTAGAGTGCAGCAAATTCCAGCCTAGATAGAACAAGTGACCTGAAGAGTGTCATCATGGCCTTGGCCTCCCTAGTTTTAAAGGTTTTCTCATTATCCATCCTGTCATTTTCTAGCAGATGCGATTGATACAATGTTATGGTCCTTGAAGGTGAGATCCTCCGACATAATCACCCCCAGGTCTTTGACGTTGGTGTTTCGCTCTATTTTGTGGCCAAATTTGTTTTGTACTCTGATGAAGATTAATTTCCTCATTTTTAAACCATATCTGAGTAATTGAAATTTCTCATCGTTGAACTTCATATTGTTTTTCTGCAGCCCACTGAAAGATTTGGTTTTGATGTCCGCCTGGAGCCTTGCAGTGTCTGCAATGGAAGACACTGTCATGCAGATTCGGGTGTCATCTGCAAAGGAAGAACGGTGCTGTGGCTGACATCCTTGTCTATGTCGGATATGAGGATGAGGAACAAGATGGGAGCTAGTACTGTGCCTTGTGGAACAGAGCTTTTCACCGTAGCTGCCTCGGACTTTACTCTGTTGACGACTACTCTCTGTGTTCTGTTAGTGAGGAAATTATAGATCCATCGACCGACTTTTCCTGTTATTCATTTAGCGCGCATTTTGTGCGCTATTACGCCATGGTCACACTTGTCGAAGGCTTTTGCAAAGTCTGTATATATTACATCTGCATTCTTTTTGTCTTCTAGTGCATTTAGGACCTTGTCGTAGTGACCCTTATAAACCCAACAACAACAAGACTGAGGAAGCTGATACAGCTGGTGAGAGGAAGATATTTGTTGTTATTGTGATGAATAATTAGTTCCTACATGTTGTAGATACATTTGTAAACTGTTGGTTGACCAGGGTAACTGTTGGTTGACCAGGGTAACTGTTGGTTGACCAGGGTAACTGTTGGTTGACCAGGGTAACTGTTGGTTCACCAGGGTAACTTGGTTCACCAGGGTAACTGTTGGTTGACCAGGGTAACTGTTGGTTACCAGGGTAAAATGTTGGTTCACCAGGTAACTTGGTTTACCAGGGTAACTTGGTTGACCAGGGTAACTGTTGGGTTTTGCCCCAGGGGGGACTTTTTGGTTGACCAGGGAAACTTTTGGTTGACCGGGGAAACTTTTGGGTTTACAAGGGTAATGTTGGTTCACCGGGGTAACTTTTGGGGTTGACCGGGGGGAAAATTTTGGGTTTGGCCGGGAAAATTTTGGTTTTGGCCCCGGGGGAAAACTGTTGGTTGACCAGGGTAACTGTTGGTTGACCGGGGTTTAACTTGGTTAACCGGGGTAACTTTTGGGTTGACCAGGGAAAAACTTTTGGGTTTTGACCGGGGTAATTTGGTTTTAAAAGGGGAAAACTTTTTGGTTCCCCCGGGGGGGTAACTTTTGGTTTGCCCAGGGTAACTTTTTGGTTGACCGGGGGAAATTTTTGGTTTCACCGGGGGAAAAGGTTGGGGTTGACCAGGGGAAAAAACTTTTGGGGTTGACCGGGGAAAAGTTTTTGTTGTTCCCATGGAAACTTTTGGGTTTAAACCGGGGGTTAACGGGGGTTTGGGAACCAGGGAAAATTTGGTTGATTGACCAGGGAAAACTGTTGATTGACCGGGGAAAATTGGGTTTGATCATGGTAACTGGGGGTTTTAAACCAGGGTAAATTTGGTTGCCCGGGGTTTGGGGGTTTTGGATCAGGGGTAACTGTTGGTTGACCAGGGTAACTTTTGGTTTTGGACAAGGGTTTAACTTGGGTTGCCCATGGAAAATGTTGGGTTTGACCGGGGAAACTTTTTTTTTTTTTGGGACCAGGGTAAGGGTTTGGTTGCCGGGGTAACTGTTGGTTGACCAGGGAAAAACCTTTTGGGTTTTGACCGGGGAAAAACTTGGTTGACCAGGGTAATTTTTTTTTTGATTGCCCAGGGAAAACTTGGTTATCTTTGGTAAACTTTTTTGGGTTGGGCCCAGGGTAACTTGGTTTACCAGGGAAAAACTTTTGGGTTTTGACCGGGGTAACTTTAGGTTGACCAGGGTAATTTTGGTTGACCTTGGAAACTGTTGGTTGCCCGGGGTAAATTGGTTGACCAGGGTAAACTTTTGGTTTTATCAGGGTAATGTTGGTTAACCGGGGGAAACTGTTGGTTGAAATGGTTTACGGGGTTGGGTTTTATCATGGTAACGGGTTGGGTTGTCATGGTAACTTTTTGGTTGTTCAGATAACTTTTTGGTTTGACCCAGGTAACTTTGGGTGATCGGGGTTTAATTTTTTGGGTTCCCCATGGGTAACTGTTGGTTGGCCATGGGTTAACTGTTGGTTGATCATGGAAAAACGGGTTGGTTAAACCCAAAAGGGAAAACTGTTTTGATCGGGTTTTAACTTTTGGGGTTGTTTCCATGGAAACTGTTGGTTGATAAAGGGTAACGGGGGGGTTGTTTGGGGTAACTTTTTGGGTTGATCATGGAAACTTTTTGGTTGTTCAGGGTTTAACTTTTTGGTTGATCAGGGAAACTTTGGTTGATCAGGGTAACTTTTGGGTTGATCTTTGGTGACTTTTGGGTTGCCCCAGGGTAATTTGTTGAAATTTTAATTTTGGGGTTAAAACCGGGGGAACTTTTGGGTTTTGGATCAGGGTAACTTTTTTGGTTGATCGGGAAAACTGTTGGGTTGATCGGGGTAACTTTTGGGTTGATCATGGTAACTTGTTGGTTATCATGGAAATTTTTGGTTGATCAGGGTAATTTGATCATGGTAATTTGTTGGTTAATCTTTGGTTGAACATGATACTTCTTTTGGGTCAAACTTGGTGGGGGTAAATTTTAAAACCTCCATAGTTACTTGTAACCCTCTGCAACCCCACCCCTACTCTACCCACCCAACCCCCCCCTTTTTCCCCCAGCCAACCCCTCCGTTTTCCCTTCCCATCCTCCCCAAACCGTCAGATAAAACTTCAAATTTCGTTAGTGTGACTTTGTAAAGGGTCCAAGTGGGGCCCGGGGGAAACACCGTCGAAGCCCCTCTTTTTCTATGTGGGGTTATTTGTGTATTTTTTTCAGCCCGGGAAATTGTCCCTTTTTTGGGTTTTAATTAAAAAAACTTGGAGGCCCCTGGGGAAAAAACAGTTTTGATACAGCTTATGCTAAATTTTGGCCCCTTAAAAAACCCAAAAAACAACAAGACTGGGGGAAAGCTGATACAGCGGGTTGAGAGGAAGATATTTGTTTTTATTGTGATGAATAATTAGTTCCCTATTTTTGAAAGTTTACTTTTTGTAAACTTTTTGGGTTACCAGGGTAACGTTGGTTGCCAGGGTAAAGGTTGGTTGACCGGGGTTACTTTTTGGTTCCCCCAAGGGTAACTGTTGATTCCCAGGGAAACCCCTGTTGGTTGACCGGGGTAACTTTTTGGTTGACCGGGTAACGTTTTTGACCAGGTAACTTTTGGGTTTCCCCGGGGTTTAAATGTTGGTTGCCCCAAGGAAAACTTTTGGGTTAAACCCCGGGGTAACTGTTGGTTCCCCGGGGGTAACTTTTGGGTTTGACCAGGGTAACTTGGTTGACCGGGGTTTAAGGGGGGTTTCATGGGGGGAACCCTGTTTATTGAAGGGGGTTTAACTGTTTGGGGTTGACCGGGTTTTCTGTTGGTTCCCCCGGGAAAATTTGGTTGGTTGACCAGGGTAACTGTTGGTTGCCCAGGGTAGTTTTGGTTAAATCAGGGTTTAACTGTTTTTTTTGACCGGGGTAACTTGGGTTGACCGGGGTAACTGTTGATTGACCGGGGTTAACTTTTTATTAAACCAGGGAAATTTGGGTTTTTTTTCCAGGGTAACGTTGGTTGCCCAGGGTTTTAACTTGGTTGACCGGGGTAATTGGGGTTGATCATGGAAACTTTTGGGGTTGACCGGGTAACTTTTTGGTTAAACCAATGGTAACTTGGTTGATCGGGTTAAATTTTTTGGTTGCCCAAGGGTAAACTTTTGGGTTTGACCAGGGTTTTAACTTTTGGGTTGACCAGGGAACTGTTGGTTGACCGGGGGTAATTTTGGGGTTGACCAGGGAAAACTTGGTTAAACCAGGGGGGTAACTTTTGTTTGACCAGGGAAAATTGGTTGATATGGAACTGTTGTTTGGGACCGGGGGTAATTTGGGTTTTGTCATGGAAAAACTTTTTGGTTAAATCAGGGTTTACTTTTTTGGGTTTGACCGGGGTTAACTTTTGGGGTTTCCCCCGGGGAAACCGTTGGTTGACCAGGGTAACTGTTGGTTGACCGGGAAAACGTTGGTTCACCAGGGTAACTTTTGGGTTTGGACCGGGGTTTAACTTTTTGGTTGCCCAAAGGGGTAATTTTTCGTTGACCAGGGAAAATTGTTGATTGACCCGGGGGAAAAAGGGGTTGGTTCCCCCGGGGTACATTTGGTTTCAACAGGGGTAACTTTTGGTTCACCAGGGTAACTTTTTGGTTTCCACCAGGGTAACTTTTTGGGTTTTTGACCAGGTTAACTTTTTGGGTTTTGATCAGGGTAACTGTTGGTTGATAAAGGTAATTTTTGGGTTGATCTTGGTAACTTTTGGTTGACCGGGGTTTAAATTTTGGGTTTTGCCGGGGTTTAACTTTTGGTTGACCGGGAAAACTGTTTGGTTGAAAGGGAAAACTTTTGGGTTTTTAACCAGGGTAACTTGGTTGACCGGGAAAACTGTTGATTGCCCAGGGAAAACGGGGGTTTAATATTTAACTTTTGGGTTGATCATGGTAACTGTTGGTTAACCATGGAAAAAACTTTTGGGTTTGCCAGGGTAACGTTGGTTTAAAAGGGCAAAACTGTTGGTTGCCAAGGGAAAACTGTTGTTCATGGAAAATTTTGGGTTTGACCGGGGTTTTAATTTGGGTTTTGACCATGGTAACTGTTTTTAAACCGGGGAATTTGGTTGCCTTGGTAACTGTTGGTTGACCAGGGAAACCCCCCTTGGTTGACCGGGGAAAACTGTTTTTTTGCCAAGGGAAAAATTTTGGGTTTTCCCAGGGAAATTTGGGTTTTGCCCAGGGTTTAAATGTTGGTTGACCGGGGGTTTAACCCTTTTGGGTTTTGACCAGGGAAACTGTTGGGTTGATCAGGGTAACTTTTTGGGTTTTACCAGGGAAACTTTTGGGTTTTGATCATAGTAACGTTTTTTTGATAATGGTAATTTGGTTTGGGTTTGACCAGGGTAATTTTGGTTTGCCCCAATGGTAATTTTTGGGGGTTGACCGGGGTTTAAACGGGGTTGCCATGGTAAACTGTTGGTTGACCAGGGAAATTTGGTTTGACCAGGGAAACCCTTTTGGTTACGGGGGTAACTGTTGGTTGACCATGGAACGGGGTTTTTGATCATGGTAACTTTTTGGTTGCCCGGGGGAAATTTTTGGTTGACCGGGGGAAAACTTTTTGGTTTGCCCGGGGGTTTTAACTTGGTTGCCAGGGTAATTTTGGGTTTGCCCGGGTAATTTGGGTTTGCCCGGGGGTAACTTTTTGATTGACCGGGGTTAACTTGGTTAAACATGGTAACTGGGGGTTGATCATAAAAACCCGGGTTGGTTAAACGGGGAACTGTTGGTTGATCAGGGGGTAACGTTTGGTTGACCGGGGAAAAATTTGTTGGTTGACCAGGGTAACTTTTGGGTTAAACCGGGGGGTTAACTGTTGGTTGAATCTGGTAACTTTTGGTTTGGGACCAGGGTAACTTGGTTACCATCGTAACTGGGGGGGGGGAGGGGGGTAACCTTGGGTTGACCATGGTAACTGTT